TATCTCTTATGAGCAAATTTCATGGGCCAGGAGAGAAGAGGCCAGGCCGAAAGCCAAGGAGAGACAAAAGGTAGTGTATCTGGCTTTTTATTTTTGCAAGATGTTGCTGCTTCTACTCGCTACGGACCATTCACAGCTTTAAGCATATGGTCTCAAAGCTATGCTACATTTCAAGGACACAAATGTAGATCAATCAGAAACAAATGAATTATGGAAACGTTTCTGGGCTGTCATCTTCCTATTGAGCAAAGATGGTGTAAATCTAGACATGTCACTTTTCAGTTCGGTTATATCAAGTACTGTAGTAAAGCTTTACACTTCATACGCCTTCTACAATAGGAAAAGTGAACATTTTTGACTTACTGATATCCATTCTGGGTGCTACCGTGGTGACACAAGCTACTGTGGTGCTCTGTCTTTCAGAGTTTCACTCTTGAAGCCCAGTGATGGAGGTGAGATGGTAGGGGTTGTAGAAGTGATAAAAAAAAAAAAAAAAACAACAAAAAACAAAAAACAACTTGTTGAAACCAGGATACTTATGGGATTACATATATAAAAATATGTTAATTTAGATGTACACATAACTATGTGTATACACATACATACATAGGTTTTGGAGCCAAATCTGTTTTGATTTAAATTCTAGCTCAACCATTTGTGAACTGTGTTTTCCTGGGAAAGTTCCTTCACTCTACCTAATTTAAGCTTCCCTTCTATAAAAAGCCATTAATAATATCTACCCCACAGAATGGTTGTGTTATTCAAAACTGATGGATAAAACAGTTTTGAGATAGACCTGGGTATGAATAGCTTAACTTGGATAATGTACTCAACTGCTGAACTTAGCTAAGATATTCAACTTGTGTGAGTTGTTTTCTTCCCTGTGAAGTGGGGATTAAAGAGTATACCAACAAAGTTATTGGGAGGATTAATTAAATTTTTAGAACATGTTTAATATAGTGCCTAGAGTACAGTTAAGGGCTACAATAAACATTAGCTGTTATCATTACTGCAATAATTACTGTTATTATACTTAAAAAGCAGCACTTAATAAATGTTGATGTGGCCATCTCTCCTACCTGTAATGAGAAATGCCTAAAAATTAGGGGGACCCCTAGGGGATAGGGATGTAGCTCAGTGGCACAGTACCTGCCTGGCAAGCACGAGGCCCTGAGTTCGATTCCTGGTACCAAAAAAAAAAAAAAAAAATTAGACAACAGGATCAAACCCAAGGATTATCCTTATGGATATATTGTGATATTGTTTCCACAAAGGCCTGTAGTTGACTTATGTCACGGACATCATACATTTTATCTGTTTTACTCCAACCCCCACCAACAGTCTTTTTCCTGTTATTTTTAAAGGGGCAATGTGGAACCTCAAGGCTGCTTGAATTTTCATTTATTCCTGCAAGAGTGAACATTTCCCATCTGTTTTGTTTACTGTTATTTTCTAGTGTGAAAATTTAGGTCTATCTTTTGCCTGTTTATCAACTTAAAGCTTGGTGATTTTCATAAAATTTGAATAGACCGAATATATTAGACACATTAACTGTTATATTCAATTCAAATACTTTCCCAGTGAACTGGAACCCAAGAAGTCTGGTAGAGATGAGGGGAAATCGGGAAATTCTGTGTGTTCAGGAGCAATTCTGTGGGTGAGGTTGCTGTCTCTTCTCACAGTGTTAACACCCGTCTCTAAGTATCCCGGGAGCTTAGGTGTCACTGCACACCTATTGTTCTATCTATAGGATATTTCTATTGTTCTATCTATAGGATATTTCTTCTTGTCTTACACACACCTCAAGTCTATTATAGACATAACTGACTTAGGTATCGTCCAACCAGCTCGCTTTTCAAACTCCCATATTTGGTGGTTTATCGACCTAGCTAAGCAATTTTGTCAGTACTATATAGTAAAAGGCCCCCAAGAGTGTCTCCGACAGGTCTCTTGAATTGGAAGTTATTGCATCTAGATTATTTTATTTGGAAACATCAAGAGAACAAGCAGAAGCAGCAGCGAAGTCGACATGTTATCCCAGGCCCTTTCTGTGCACCGGGACCTGCTACTGTGGCAGACGTACCTGCGCCAGATGCAGAGCAGCAGAAAAGCCCTATGAAGGCTGCTATCCAGCAGGAGCAGTTAATAGGAGGCGTCAGGAACTACCCAGGGGAAGAGGAAGTACTGGAAATTGCCACTGTGGGCCTTTCATCTAACCATCTACTTTATTTTTATGTTTAATGGTGACATTTTGAAATTATTTTGGTAATCAATATTTTAATCATTACAATATTGATTTTCTTTTTTTAGCATTGTGGCTTTTCTTGTTGATGCTTCATTTAGGATGGGAACAATAGGAAATCAGGACATGTGTTACAGTGTTCCTTCTAGAACCTAAATTCAGTTTAGGTTCTAGGCCTGGCGGTGCATGCCTGTAATTCCAACACTCAGGAGGCTGAGGCAGGACAATTGTCCTTATGTTGAAGTCCTGGGACACACTGAGTTTAAGTGCAGCCTGCACTGCATAATAAGACCTTCTCAAAGAAAAAAGAAAAAAAGAGAAACTCTAGCCCACTCGTCTTTGCCATCAACGTACAGGTCCGGTTCCCTCCAAAGTCCACTGAACTTGGCAACACGAGATGCTGCCGAGAACGCACAATGAGGCACGCATCAGACCGAATAGAAAAGGACAGAATTCCCCTGAATTAAAATAAAGTTAAATCATGTCACAATTTCGAAGTCTATGAGAAGCCAGATCAACACGACCCTAAGCAGAAGCTTCCTTCCCTCTTGTTATTTTCTAATCCTCCCTCCAATTTCCCAACATACAACGGGTCACGTAAGCCCATCTTCGGGCACAAGAAAGGGTTCCGAAATCACATACCAAGAAAAGTCCATCAGTGCCTTGGCAATGCTTGTATGTTGAAGCCAAACTTCATGCAGTTACCAAGTTTGTCCCAGAGTCGAGGGGGTACCCCTGCAGACATGCGGGTACCTGCACGCGGGTGTGCGCGGGTGCCCATGCACTGCGCTGTGGAGGACACACTTTTTACACTGCCTGCAGAAAGATGACGGGTTTTTCAAAGGCAGGCTAATACGATAGTATAAAATTCACATCCTCAAACTTCCACCAAGAGCCTAACTAGGGCTCCCCAAGCAGAAGAGGGTCCCTGGAGGGAAGGGGAGGACACTGGGGGCGGGGTAGGTGCGAATATCACCAAGCAGCTGATTACAAAGGCACCGGCCAAGCTCCAGTGAAAGCCACAAATTGTGTCCCGAGGATGATGTCCTGAATTCCCTTCTGGTCGCCTAGTGTAGGTCAGCGCCGAGATGGCACGGAGACCCTTCCATTCGCTCCAACACTTCAGCCACCCTTCTCAGAGGACCTGGTTGATTCACTTTCCCTCGGGATGCGATTCTCTGGCGGCTCATCCTCCCCCGCAACACCCGGGGTCAGCGGTGAGCTTCGGCGGCACAGCCCTGCACGCCAGGCGTCGCGCCCCCGCGGTGTGGGCCGAGCTCCCGAGCCCCGGCGGTCGGTGGGGACGAGCCGGCCGCAGACGCGCGG